ACCCTCGGATATTTCCTTTGTTTACTCCCTCAAATTCTTTAGATATTTTTGCTTGACCTTCACTTGTCTTTCTGATAAGAATTCAAGTTCCTTGAAGACAAGTTTGTTTTATTTTGTTCTGTGCAGTTATTTCCAATACCTAAGACATCGTCAGAAAAATGGAAAATGGTTAATAATAAATTGTTAAATTAATAGATAATTTATGAATATTTGTGCATACAAGAGAGATTCTAAATTCACTGCATTATATCATGCAGCTGGATTCTAATGTTTATCTTAGCTGGTTGATTGAATATGGTGTCCTTATGGATCACACTAAGCAAAGTTTCTATGAGATTACTTAATGTGATACAGAGGCAGAATCTAAAGAGGCATGGAAAAGAGAATGTTGGAGTGTACTTGTTGTACATTGTGTACTCATCTGTTCCTATCTATGTCTGATGTTAGGGCCAGAAGATGCTACTTTTAGTGGCTTTTCTCTTTAGGCTGAGAATGACTGTTACACTTGATGTGACCCCTTGATTTCACTAGCAATGTCAACATTTCAAGTAGGATCAAATAAAAAAGAAATTCCATAGTAGACAGAATAGTCTGAGTTGGAAGAATTTCTGTCAGTAGTTAAATGATGCTGTGATACTCTGGCAGATAGTATGTGTGTTAATCAAATTCCATTTAATTTTTCAGTTTCACACTTATGGTCTGCTTTTCCCAGACTGCATTACAGTTAGGTGATTGATGTCTGACCACTGGACTCAGAGTAGAAATGACACTTACCAATTTCAGGCCTCATATACATGAAAATTCTCTCTTCCTGTTGGTATAAACACCAAATGCAATCTTGAATGTTGCTCATTGCCACCTTGATCCCTGAATGATAGTATGGAATATCAGAGTTTATCTCACAGCATACACAAAAACAAATTTGAGACAGGCATGGTGGCACATGCCTGTAATCCCAGCAGATCAGGAGGCTGAGAAAGGAAAATCACAAGTTCAAAGCCAGCCTCAGGAACGGTGAGGCACTAAGCAACTCAGTCAGATCCTACCTCTAAAAAAAATACAAAATAGAGCTGGGGATGTGGCTCAGTGTTGAGTACCCCTAAGTTCAATCCCCAGTCCCCCACAAACTGAAATAATTTATAGACCAAAATGTAAAGCTTTAAGTATGTAACTACTAGAAGAAAACAGGAGAAAATCTTCATAATTTTGGATCAGGCAGCACATTTCTTAAATAGAATATAATTATAAAAGAAAAAGTAGACAAAATAGACTTCATAAAAATGTGGAACTTTTGTTCTTTAAAAGAAAGTATTAGGTAGGGCTGGGATTGTGGCTCAGTGGTACAGCACTTGCCTAGCACATGTGAAGCACTGGGATTGATCCTCAGCACCAAATAAAATAAATAAATAAATAAGGTATTGTGTCCATCTACAACTAAAAAAATTAAAAAAGAAACTTAGGTACATAAAAAGGCAAGCTAGGACTGAGAAATATTAACATATATATCAGATAAAAACTTTAATATGAAATTCATAAAGAACTCTTGCAAAACTCAATAATAATAGGATAAATTATCCAGTTAAAAGTGAGAAAAATGTGAGTATAGCTTGGTCATAGAGCATTTGGCTAAGCAGGTGCAAGTTCCCAAGTTCAATCTTCACAACAATAAAAAAATGAGAAAACTATTTGAACAGGTATTTCATTTAAAAAGATATGTAAATGGTTAATGATTACATGAAAAGATGCTGTACATTATTAGTCATCAGAGAAATGGAAAATAAAACCAGAGGATGCCACTATACACACTTTGGAATAAAATTTAAAATGACAAAAATAACCTGACCACATTGAGTGATGGTGAGGATGTGGAGAAACTGAAATTTTCCTCCTCTACTTATTGGGCTATACGATAGTAAAGTTGCCTGGGGAAACAGTTTGGAATTTTCTTAAAAATTAAATATATAACTTCTACATAATATAGTAATTTCATTCCTAAGTGTTTACCCAAGAAAAATGAAACATACATCCACACAAAACAATTATGTGCATGTTTGTTTTAGCTATATTTGTGATAGCCAAGAATTGGTAAGTACCTAAATGTTTAACGGCTGAATAGATACATATTCACTATATCATGAAATACCATTTGGTAATAGAAAAGAATGTTATTATTACATGCAAAATCATCATGTGTAATGAATAAAGCCAGAAAAGCAAAGCAGTTTACACTCTATGATTCAATTCATATAAAAATGCTATAAAACATACTTCCTATGTTATCACCTTGAGGGTTAGGATTTCAACGTATTAGTTTTAGGTGAGAAACAAACATTCAGTTCATGTGCTGGTTTTTAGACTCCCTCAGTGATATCCATTTTCTGTAATTTGAAGGCAGAAATACATGCTGCTTTGTTTTGGTGACTCTCTACTTTTTAGAGATCTCCTCACTCTTTCCCTCTATATTATCAGGATTGTATCCCAAGCCTTGCTTCAAAATTTTAAAAATGCACATTTTCTTCAAGAAACTAAAAATCTACAAACACTAAGTGTAAAGGATAGCTAGAATGAATGTGGTAATCCCTTTTGTTGTTCTTGGTTCATTCACTTTTATTGATTTTTATAAAGTATTTTCTTTTTTGTTGGCCTCTAGGGACACTCACTAACCCCTTTGTTATCACTTTAAAAAGACAGAATGTATTACTTACCAAGATCAGGCAAAATTGTCTCTTCTATAGGAATTATGAATTAATGGAAACACTTTAGCTCAGTTTTCTTTTAAACAATCACCTTCTGTACTAGCCTTCTTTCATTTCTTCCAGAAAATTATTTCCTCAATCCTCCACCCTTGCAGAAAACCCCAGAAAACAGAGCTTTCTTCAAACATGTTCTGATAATGATCCCTGGACATTACTTCTTCTAGAAAGTTCTGTACTCATCTTACATTATAAAAAAAATGCCAGTAGAGGAGTTTTAATTCGGCTTTAATCAATTATATTTTGACTCTATTCCCTGACTTTCACTTCACTTCTGGAAATTTCTGTCCTTCTAATTCCATTCTCCCAGAAACACTAAGGGAATGGGGCTTATTTCAGTATTAAAGAAAATATTCTGAGCCCATTTACCCTTATTTCTCCCAGAATGTTTGCCCTGGTTATTTACCTTCCCTAAGAAGCTCTGGTGAGGGGGCATCAGTTTTCCTTCAACTTCAGTCAACACATTATGAAGTGCCTGAGTACAATGCTGTCCATTTTCTGATGAGACCATCATCCGCTTCCTCTACACAGGTAAGAGACCATTCCAGTTTCAAAATAGTATGAAAGGCATGGAGTTCTCCTTAAATGTGAACACATAGGGATTCTGATGACTAAATAAATAGTGAGCATTAAGAAGACATAGATTTTGTACTAGTTGCATATATTCATTTTTTTCATGCTGGCTGACAATCAGTACATGCTGCTAAAATTTCCAAATGCTTTATTGAGGCCACAGGGTGAGAAAACAAGCATCTTGAACTGGGCATTGGGATATCAGCGGTGTTGTCAGTGGTGCTCTTCTACTAACTGGCTGTGTGACTTTAGGTAAATCACTTTCCTAACCCAATTTCCTCATTTGTAAAGTCAAGTTTGGGCTGATTTTTCTGTGATCTAGTTAAAAAAAACATTTTAAATGTGACAATTCTTACATGTAAAACTAAAACAAATTTGTCAAAACAATTCTTAACATTACCAATGGGAGATGGACTGACTTTGTGTGTACTGAGGATTGAACCCAGGGTCTTCTGCTTGCAAAGTATGGGCTCTACCATTGAGTTACAGAACCAGCCCCTTATCTCTTTGCTTATGTCCCACAAAACTGATTTCAAGAGCCATTATGGGAGACAATCCTTAGTTCAAACACTATACTACAGGGTGTTTATCATTTTTGGCCCAGATATTCTAAAAATTAATATCTGTGTTTGAGACATAAACAATGTGAAGAAAAGTAGCCTCATTCTTGGTGATTTTTTTGACCTTCCTCAACATGTTGTCAGTTAAATATTCTATATCTCAAGATGAAAAGAACACGTCCTACACAGAACACATCCCAGGCCAGACACATCCCCAAGATACAAAGCAGGGAGGAACCCTAGTACTTATTTCTGAACTTTGGTAACCTCACCTATAAAGAAGTGGTCACAGTGTACTCTACAGGATGTGATTGAGTATTAGAAAGAGATTCTAGAAATTAAAGAGCTGAGAGGAATGATGATCTTTGGATCTCTCAAGCTGAATGTGACCTTCAGCCATGCTTTGTCTTGCACAGGAAACACCTTCCAGTTTGCCAATGCCCCGAACAATCCTATAATCAGTCTATTTTAAGGTCTTGTACTTTTCATTGTTTTGCCAATCAAACTCACATAGTCATCCTCTTTTTATTGTTCATGCTTAACAGACATATGATATACACATATCAATGTATATAGATACATATACACTTACACAGTAGCAGTCAGACTTTGGAGTAAACAGGATTACCTAGGAATCTTGTTAAAATGGAGATTTTGTAACCCCACTATGTGGGTATGGAGGGCAGGGGCTAGCGGTTTTACAATCACAAACTTTTTTTCCACCAAAGTGTTTCTATAAAGATAGTAGACTCACACTCATTGGAAAACACTAGGACATAATTCTAAAAATGTTATCAGATGCTTAATTATAGGCATGATTTTCCATGATTGGTTGAAGACAAGGAAAATAACTGTCTAAGAAAATTAAGATTTTGAGTCTAAGTAGCTGAAAGAGAAAAAGTACCATTAACAAAAATAATGACTGGGATAGAAGAGGAAGATGATGATAGAATATAGGCTGCTTTTTAAGCTGCTTTATTAATTTCATATTATGAAAAGAATAGTTTTTCAAAAATTGGTGAAATTGCCATGCTGACAGAAACTTTTAGACAGAGACAAAACAACATTCAATCAGAAACTGAAAAGTGGAAACACCAAAAGTTTTACAGGAAAAGTAAATCACAAAGATCAAGATTTTAAAGCTGTGGCCACATTATGAACCTCATTTTATAAGGTTCATAAAGCCTTAGGATTCAAGGTATAAGGCAAAAGTCATAATGATTGTCAGGTTCAGGGGTTTGGAAGCGCATATAATGCCTCATTTGTTGTTCCTTACTCTTTCTCTTGATTTCCATCATCTGTCCTACAAACCTTTCTACGTCATCTCCCACTTCACTGTGATCAATATGCCTATTAGGTATGGCCCATCGAAAATTAGGGACAAGCCTCCTAACTCTCCCCCGCCTTACATTTCCTCCAGGCTTCTGGCTTTCACCCCCTCCCAAATGGCGGGATTCTTCTTCATTTTGCATTGGAGCCTGCTCCCCTCCTTCGTTTTCCTGATGGTTGTTTTCCTCGCTGAGATTTTTTAACACTTGTTTCTCTTTGGACTCCATTACTCCTAGAAGACAAGAGACAGAAGGGACTGAATCCTTAGTGGACAGATCAGCACCGAGGACAGAGGCCCTACTAAGCACTTTTCAAAACGCAGAGGCCTAGATTTGAAAGGCCTTTTGTGAATTGCATTTTCCCACCTGAGAGGCCCCGTGCGCCCTCTAGGGGGCCGGGTCCAACCCCTCCCTCCCTCAAAGCCCACCATTTTCCCTGCAGATGCATCTCCTGGCCTCCGCAGGCACCAAAATGGAGGACAGAGATGAAGGGAGAGGCGGGGCGGGGGAGGGGATGCAGAGGGGTGTTGGGGGTCTCAGACTGGGCTTTGCACACCTCCCTCTGCCCCCCTCCCCGCCTCCCAGCACTGCCCCTCGCACCCACCTGGGCCTATCCTTGCCGTCTCCTCCTGCTCCTCCGGATTCTCGCCGCCGGCTGCGCCGCCGCGACTCTTGGTCCGCAGACCTGCAGACCGAGGTGGGGGCACAGGGGGCTGCTATAGCCGAGAGCTCGGCCCCCGCCCCTTCCTCGCCGCGCTCGGTCCAGCCCCGCCCCCAAGCTGACCACCATTTTCTGCACCAGACGACGGGGGCGGGGCAGGGGTGTGGAAAATGCTGGGTTCTGGCGCAGACAGGTGTTTCCAGGGATCGGGACCGTCCCCCCATCCCCCCCGCCGCTGCGGAGCCTCTGCTGGACTGGGAGCTGCGTGTCTCATTGATAGTCTCTTTCCAGAAGGAGCTGGACCCCCAAGAAGGGGTCCGCTCTCCCACTCCAACCCCAGGGGCCCCCTCCGGCTCCTCACCCGTTCCTCCGGCGCCTCCTACTTTTCTGGGCCACCCCTGGCCCGCTCGCCAAAAGGGCCACCTGCGCAGCTACCGCCTAGAGGGAGCGGGCGAGCGAAGCTAGAGTCTGGAGCTAGAGCAAGGCGCGCGCGACAGATCACGTGAGGCTCTGTCACTGCCCACAGCTCCGCCCGCGTCCCAGGCCCCAGCCGGCTGCCCACAGTGGGCGTGGCTTGGCGGCAAGGCCCCAGCTTCTCTCAAGGGCCTTTGGACATCAGCATCCTGGGCCCTGTTGCTGCTGCTTTTGTGTATTCCTAGGCCTTTCTCTGCCTATCGGAGAAGAGCAGTGTCTTTTCACCAGAATGTTGGCCATTCCTCCTTCTAGAACTGGGGAATTGCCGTGCCCTCTTAGGATTTTCCTTGCTCCCCAACTTTCTGGCACCAGTTCTTGTTTGTAGAATTTAACGGCATGCAAAAAAACCTCAATTGTCAAAAAAATAACACTTTAGTGCAATAATTTGTCAAAAAAGAAGTTCATGCAAGAATGTCTATGATGAGCAAGGTGTCAAATTTTTATTTATTTATTTATTTGTGGTGCTGGGGATTGAACCCAGGGCCTTGTGCATGCAAGCAAACACTCTACCAACCGAGCCCCAAGATGTCAAAATTTTTCATAAGGAGTGATCTATGCCACCTGCCCAATTTTCAAGTTGTGTTCCTCCCTGATGCTAGTTCCTACTTTTTTCTCTATACCAGAATGCCTAAGGAAACTGGAAAAAGTTTTTCCTTCCTCCTTTTCCTCCTCAACCAGGACCTTGCACATGGTAGGCAAGCAGTCCACTACTGAGGTTCATTCCTAATCCCATCTAGTTCTTCTTAATAGGTTTTGATTTTGTTCTTTTTTGGATTGAGAATTGAATTCTCTTTATAGTTTATGTTAACATTATTTTAATTTTCTTATGGGAAATTTCAACTATATGCTAAAGTAGAATAATGCAAACCCATGTACTCATCCTCTAGCTCAGCTTCCACAAACTCTGCCCAATTTTATTTAATAGTTATCTTTACCCACTTCTACACTTAGAGTTTAATTTTGAAGGAAATTCTAGACATAATATCACTTTAGACATATATCACTTGCATATTTGCAAGATAAGGACTCTCTCTCTCTCTCTCTCTCTCTCTCTCTATATATATATATATATATATATATACACACACACACACACACACACACATACACACACAAAACCACAGTAGTTATCACACCTAACAATTCACAATTCCTTAATACCATTGTAAGTCTAATCCAGGTTTAAATTCCCAATTGTATCATAGTTAAACATTTTTTTTTTGTTTGAATCAGGTTGCAAATAAGACCCATACATTTTATTTTGTTGCTATACCTCCTAAATTCCTTTTTAAAAATAGTTGGTCTTGCTTTTTTTTAGTTGTAGTTGGACATAATACCTTTCTTTTATTTATCTATTTTTATGTGGTGCTGAGGATTGAACCCAATGCCTTACACATGCTAGTTGAGCACTCTACCTCTGAGCCACAATCCCAGCCCCCTAAATTTCTTTTAATGTATAGTTTCTCACTTGTTAATTTCTCCTTCAATTTAATTGTTGTTGAAATGAAGTTGTTTGTCCTATATTTTCCCACAATCTTGACCTTGGTGGTGTCATTATTAACAGACTCTTTACTCTTTGTTTCCTATGAAATGGAGTTATTTCTAGGAACAGTTTGGATCCAGATTCAATTTCAGTTCAGTTTTTTCCCCCAAGAAATGGCTGTTGGCTCTTGATTTGTTATTTGTTAAAACATAAAACAAATTATGTGATTTTTACCTGGAATACTGCTATAGAGACAATTCAAATTTTTGGTCAGGCTTCCTACAAGCAGAACCTGAAACAGAAAACTTTATGAAAGAGATCTCTTGAGATGATGCTGTCAGGTTGAAGAAAGCCTCTTGAGTAGTTGGAATGAACTTGGGGGGGGGGGTCCTTCTGCTTTAGCTTCCTGAGTAGCTGGAATTATGGGCATGTGCCAACATACCCAGCATGCAACAAAATTTTTTTTTGTTGATATTGTATCCTGAAACTTTGCTGGACTCATTTGTCATTTCTATCAATTTGCGTGTTCACATGAGTGTATTCTTTAGGATTTACTATATATACGATTTGTCATTTGCAGGTAAAGATAATTCCCTTTTTCCTTTCAAAAAGATGCTTTTCTGATTTGCTTTATACTGCCTCATTGATCCAGATAAATTTTATAGTAAAATGTTGAATGGATATGAAGAAAGTTGGATGTCCTTTTCTTGTTTCTGATACATGAGGAATGCTTTCAGGCTTTCACAACCCAGTATGGTCTTAGCTGTTTTTTTTTTTTTTAATTCAAAATAGCATATTTTTATTCACAAACACAAATTTTCCCTGCAGGTTATAAATATGACTGAGAAAAAGAATTTGGGTGTTTGAACAAACATTTCAGGTTGGCAGGGTTTAATTCTTTTTCCCAAGAAACTCTTCAAAATGTAAGTAAATTAGTAAATGTAAGTACTAATGGAAATACAGTACAAAGAAGGGAATAAAGGTCTTGCTTAATTCTATTTTCTTAGAATATCCATATCTGAGCTTGAGCTCACATAATGTAATAAAGGAACATACAATGAAGCAAGGCTAAGAAAATACAGAAGCACAATAATATTCACTCATGACAAAAAGGCATGGAGTCATCACTTCAGATCCTACTTAATGTAGAATCATAAATTTCTGCATGACCAGAAACAATCATAAAAGGTTAAGTGCTTCTTTTTTTCCTTCACTGTTCCTCTGTGAGTCTGACAGTGAAGACTGTTAAGGGAGTAGGCACTTGATTTTCAATGATCTGCCCCTTTCTGTTGTTGAGTGAACTTTTGCAGAATCTTAGGCCATAGGTGGGTAGTTAGGTTGGTATTGTTTTGATGGAGACGACAAGGCTCTCACAATGTATGGGGGTGCGGGGTGTGCGTGTTCATACCAATATGTTTGCACTAATGGAAATTTCCTTTTAGAAACATCACATCGAAGGTGAATGTTTGGAATCTACCTTAATATATATTTAACAAAGCAAATACTTTATATTATAAAATAAATGTGATCAGGGAATTTTAAGATAGTTGGTGAATTTATTCTGTAGTTTGTGATTCTATTAGGTGACTTTCTGTTGATGTGGGGACTCAAGAGTCTTATCTGTGATAATAGCCCATAAATCAGCACAGTGTACTTTCTTAGGACCTCTGTGGTCAGGCCCCCATGCTTTGCCATTTTTCTTGTTCCTCTGGTTCAATTATCTCCATGGCCACATGTATCTCAGTCTCACCTTGAGGTGATTTTGGGGTGACATGGCTTCTTCCTCAAGTTCTAATTAGATGGATTGGCCTAGGATTATGCTTCTGAGAATAAAATAAGATGATGCACAGTTTGTAATTTTGTTTTGGACACCAATAGGGAGGAGTTCATAACTTGATCAAATAAAACCTGAACATGAATTAGCCTGCTGAAGGATTTAGAACTGACTTTTCGAGATAAAGATGAACCCTGTGTGATGATAAAAAATGGACCGATACCATGTGCTGTTGAGAGCCACAGCCGAAGGGGCCCCAGCAAACTTCCAGCTTCTAGCAAACTTCCAGCTGCCAGCTGATGATTGGCTCACAGCAGCCCCAGCAACTTCTAGCTGATTGGCTCCTCTGCGGTGATGCTCATTGGGCTGTTTCCCCGCCCTTTCAGACTACGGAGCTGCTCATTGGGGGACTTTTTTTGGCTCTGCCCACACAACCCA